TTTCTTCCTTTCTCCACCTATGGGGTGTGTGAGAATTGGAGAGGAGAAAGAGGGAGAAATAAAAAAAAATAGAAGAAGAAACAGAAAAGAGAAGAATAACAGAAAGGGGGGGGGCGGAAGAAAATGATGAGAGAAGGAGAAAGACAGAGAGAAAAAGAGAGAAAAGTGTATGTGTAGAGAGAGAGAGAGGAAGCAGGAAGCTGACACAGAGTGAGGCCTGCTGATTTAGGAGGCAAAGGGGTCAGCTCATGTCGCAAGGGGGGAAGTTGCTGAAGCTAAAGAAGAGAGGAGATGTTGAAGGCTGAAGAGAGCCAGAAGAAAATGTGTGGAGAGAGGGTTATATAACTCGTAAGGTAGTAGTTGTGATAGAAGATTTGAGTTCTACTGGGAGTTTTCATGGTTGCTACAAGAGTTCAGGAACAATTCACCACAGCAACTACTCCAAGGGTGAATATTGCATCGATGAGGCTATTACTTTAGCTATGACTTTGAAGGGGATGAATGCTACTTCAGGGAAGGCGCCAATTTCTACTTTTGTTACTTCTGGAAATATTACAAGTGAGGTTGGGCCAAAGGCAACCTTTGCTAATAAAACAGTGACAACATCTCTGTCGCCTACGAAATTTGTAAATGTCACACCAACACCTGGTATGACATTTTTGTACTTTAAAGAAGTAGTAAATATAACCCAGAAACCTATGTTAAAAATAGAGCTTAGTGTGAATAGTAGTAATGAGATTTTTGAACCTAGAGAACAGATGGTGGAAGAGCATGATGCAGATTCATCTGTGACAGCTCAGAGGACTATTTTAGATGTGGAAGAGGAGTTTTTTGACTTTGACTGGACACCAGAAGACGTGACTGATCAGTATCATGTATCACAGAAGAGGGAAATTTAGTGGAAGGCATATGGATTTGATTTCTAGGTGTTACAAATCGCAGACCCGGGGGCAGGTAGGAACTTATGGTTCCAGCAGTTAACTCATTCTGTAAGATCGGTTAGGAAGCTGAATTGTCCATGTGTGGTGAAAGTTCCAACATCAGGCACATGGCCTTCTATTTTAGAGACAGTACCAGAACCATTAAGTGCTAAATGTCAATCTTATGCATTATCGTGGCTGTTATATCAGCAGCAATCAGCAGAAGATAAGGTAATGGCTCTGTCAGTGCATCTGTTTAGACCTAAACATAATTGTTCTTGGTTGGGAGAGTTACGATATGTGAATTTACTTGATCAGTGTAACATGACAGAACCACTCAGACGTTCGCGGATAAAAAGACCAAAAAGGCTTTACTGTTTGAATCATCAATCAAAATTGTTGTCAGGAAACAGGCACAGGTCAAATCCAGAAAGGGCAGCAAGTAAAGAAACACAAACATAACAACAGGCAAAAATAATTCAAAAGGGGTCAGACAAAAACAGGTGAGTCAAAATACAGATGAATAGTCAAAACTGGAAAACATAACACAGGAAATAAACGCTCAGTAGCTCTAGAAAGAACCAATACCTTGCACTGAACTGTTCTAAAAGCCCAGGCTTTATACTAAAGCTGATGAGAGGTCACAGGTGTAACAGATCAGTGCTCAGGAGAGAGAGACCTGTGATAGGAGCATGGTGGAGGGTCAGGAGTCATGTGATCTCCCAGAGGATTCTGGGAGATGGAGTCCAGGGAAACCCCTGAGCCATAGGGATGCATGACAATCAGCATGAAAATATGATAACAGCGATCCCTGATCCGCTGGAAGTGAAATCTGTGGGGTTTGTGGTGATAAGGCATATATATTTCTACCGTATGGGTGGATAGGATGCTGTTACATGGCAACGTTGAAGCTTCCATATGAGGTTTTTACTGTCCAGAAGGGAAAAGTGTCTGTTGAGTTTCAATCTGATGCTATTTCTGGAAGTAGGAAGAAAAGGGAACTGGCACAATTTCATAATCTGGAGTCCTATCATTGGAAGATAAGTCTAGGAGAGAAGTGGGGTATAGGATTATTTCCATGGTATGGTGTGACATTTTTGGCAGATCACATTGATAATATTACCGACAGGGTCTTGCAAATGAGACTACAAGAGGTTTTGAATACTTGTCAAATACTCAAAAGAGTCATAGACTGACGGTGCTGAAACATGACATGGCTCTTGATTATCTTTTGGCCAAACAAGGTGGCCTATGTGTGGCTTTGAACTTAACTGGGGATGCCTGTTATACTACATTCCTGATAGTTCTGCCAATATGACTAGTGTCATAGATGCACTGAAGCATATAAGGGATGCATTTGGCCCATTGGAAGGAGCTGGATGGTCTGCAAATGCTTGGTTGCAGGAGAAATTAGGACCGTTGGGAGCAGTGTTGGTTCAGATTATGGTAGCAGTTCTTATATCATTGAGTTTGATGTTCTGTTTCTGTACATTGTTGTTGACTTTTGCGAAGGCTATGATATTGAGATGGGTTGGTGTTGTGATGCCTGGAGATCAAGTTCAGATGTCATTACTACATAGGACTGACACAGACGATGACGAGGAAGTGGTGATAGAAGGCGAACTGATGGAGAAATATCCATTTTGAATATCTATTCTTATTATAGTCTTAACATTTATTTCTGTTACTATTTGGGTATTTAGTAGCCTCTTACCATAGAGTGGGATGATAGCGGGGGAAATAAAAAGGTGATTTATAACTTGGAATAATGTGAAAGTATGATACTTTTGATTTCACATTTACTTATAAGGTGTTAATCTGTATTTGATGTTTCAATTTGCATCTGTTGTTTTTGCAAAAGATACTGGTTGGTGGTTTTCTTTTCTTTCCTTCAAGAATGATGTTGGGGGAAGACCACTGTAAGGGTGGTTGGATCTTCGGGGACCCCGATGTGCATGGACAATAAGACTGGACTGAAGGACTTTGAATAAGGACACTGTGATACAATGCCCAGAGTCAACATATCATCAACACTACACTGAGAGTCGACGCTGCTGAGGAGCTGCAGTGTGATACATTTTTATGTCTCATATATATATTTGCATTGTATTGGCTTTTGTTCTATTATATTGTAATGTGTGATATTGATAGAGGACATTTATAAGGTAGTGATAATCTTTGTAAGACATACTAGTTGGATTGAGTGTTTGAGTAGTACTTAAATTTATGACACTTTCTTTGGTTTAATTGCTTGAAGACCGATGTTTTCTGTTATGGGGTGAGTACATTGGGACCTCAGATGTTTTTTTTCTTTTTTCGGGTGCTTAGGGATATTGGTGTTAGGCAGGGAAAGGTCCATTGGAAGGTCTGATGGGTCAACCAGCCTGAATGTGGACATTGTTTTGATTTTATTTTCTGAGGTTTCCATATGTATTTGCTTAAGTCATATCTCTATCCAATTTATCAAAATTCCTCCTTTTTAAATTGGTCTGGAGTACTCTATGTGGTCGCCTAAGGCAGAGGGGCTGTGAGAGAATTTTTCCTGTCTAGACTGTTTGATGGACATTTCAGGAATGATAGCTGCCTGACAGGTTTTTTCACTTTCACACTCCAGAAAGTTGTTGCATTGCTAAGGTTATGCTGTAGGAAGCATGTGTAGGAGAAACTGTTATTTTGTTACAACTGCAAACATGTATGTGATACTTTTTTGTTTTTCGAGACTTTGTGGTAGTCTCAAAGGGGGGAATATGAGATGTATTTAGAAGAGTGCTTTTATAGAAGAAGGCAAAAAACTCTTAACTTTTAGTATAAGTAGGCCTCTCACTTTCTCCCTTCTCTTAGTTCCAAATAGATGAGATCATTTTAATAAGGACCATATGTTCTGTCTCATTTTTTCAACAACAAGCAGCCTATATAAGCCATTGGCTCTAGTGGTCTGGGGGGGACACTTTAGAATTGGCATGGAACCCCTCTCAGGTACTTTATAGTGCTTGATATGATACTGTTTTACTTTGTAATAAACATCTTATACAAGGAAGACAGTGTCAGCGGAGTCTCCTTCATCATCTTCACATCATCGCTACTTAATAAACAACAATGTTACCTGGGTTGTGTGGGTACTTGGACGAAAAATGCACAGGACTCCAGCTCGGAAGTGTCTAAACCACTGTAATGGTACTTTTTTACATATATACACCGATCTGGCATAACATTCTTTGTTTCTACGCTCATTGTCCATTTTATCAACTCCACTTACTATGTAGGTGCACTTTGTAGTTCTACAGTTACAGGCTGTAGTCCATCTGTTTCTCTGAATACTTTGTTAGCCCCCCTTTACCCTTACGTGGTAGTGGTGTGTTAGTGTGTGTTGTTCTGGTACGAGTGGATCAGACACAGCAGTGCTGCTGGAGTTTTAAACACCTCAGTGTCACTGCTGGACTGGAGCTTTTGTCTCTGATTTTACATCTACAAGGTAGACCAACAAGGTAGGAGTGTCTAAAAAAGAGTGGACAGTGAATGGACACAGTGTTTAAAAACTGCACTGCTGTGTGTTTACATACATACATACATTTTATATAACGCTGCTGTCAGAAGAAACTTTGTATCTCCATTTTTGACGTTTTTCAGTTTTTGGCATAATTTGAAAATACATGTGGCCCTTTGTAGGTTAATTTCTTGATGAATGGAGATACGAGGTTAAAATAAAATTAAAAAAGTAAAAGTACGTTAAGGAACACCATGTCTGTTCATTCGTAAGTTTGTCTGGTGGTCATTTTGGTAAATTCTCTAGAGAAGTAGTAGAATGTAATTGCAAATTTAGCATGTGGAATCTGGTAAATACATCAGAGCAGTGTGATATTAGTTTAATTAATCCTTTTTGAAGAAATACAAATCACTAAGGTCTGTCTTTCTGAATGCTTTAATTAACTCAAAGTACAACTTGTAAGGCAGTCAAACATTAGCAAGCAAAAGATGAAATACGGAACCTGGTAATGTCCTTTTTTTAACTTCTTGAAAATAAGATTTTTATTTGCAATGCAAGCCATATTAGCTAAGCTGTTTAGCAGCATAAATGCCATGCATGATTTTTAATCACTATTTATCCTTGAAGTAGATGTTATCAGAGTAATTCTGGGCAGCCTGGAACTTCCACATATCTTTAGCCAGGATGCCGTTTCTGGAATGGAATATTTTGGCCAGAGGGGTGGCCATCGGAGAAGGACTGTAATCTGCACACTCTGGACCCTGCAGACTAGGAGCACATTTTACAGTATACGAGAAGAAGAAGGTGCCATACTGGAAGTAACATGTTTTACTCACATGTCCGCTTGTAAGAGGAAAGGAGCAGTTTCCAAGAAGGTCACTGTTCCAGTAAGTGTCTTCATCGTAGACTTCGAAAGTGATTGTTTTGTTGTTCGACATTTTGATAGGACCAAACTCAAACGATTCTTTCCAGCGGGGATTGTCATTGTTTGTAATTACTGCAGTGCGTTGTACTATTCGATCGTATCTGACTAGTACAGAGCCGTCTGTTTTAGTAAAGGTGTCTCCATATAAACCTTTGGCTCGTAGGTTGAAGACCCTCAGTGTGGCTAGACCTGTTCCAACAGGACAGCAGTTGGACTGTATATTTTGATTTGGTTCACAAACGCAGGCACAGCGATCTCTTGCACTACCCCTAGCCCCTATCTTACAAGATTCAGAGCAAACTTTTTTTAAGGCATTTGCACGGATATAATTTTCTACGGCCTTCTTTATTCCGTTCCTGGCAGGGTGCCTTAAGTTCAGCACTGAATGTAGGGGTTTAAGGGTGTATCTCACAACATCTGGGATGGTCTTCAGGGAGTTCAGCCACCGATTTAGAGCATATGGATGTGAGGCTCTGGAGAAAAGGAGATCCTCACCATTGATGTTCCCTCCTGTAATCTCTGTCTGTCGCTCATTAAACATTGAGCTGAATTTTTCATTTCCCATGGTCTTCTGTAACCTTTGACACTCTAGGGACTCTTCCCTCAAAGTAGCACCATTGTATGTGCCTGATGCTTCCACGTCCAAACAGTCTTTGACTGCTGTGTCCGAAAGTCCATTCATTGTTGCCTTGCAGGATCTGATGGCTGTTACTGCTTTCATCTTCCCACCCAACTCCACTCCTGTGGTAAAGTGTGTGCCAAACATGTCAATTATGCGTTGATAGGAGTGTGGATCATAGTTTCGAGGAAGAGACTGCACAGCCCGAAGAAACTCGCGATGCAGTGGGGGTGAGGATTTTATTTTGTAGCTGTGAATGAATTTGGGAGATATTCATATTTGTGAGTTGTACACAGTGCAAAAGTGCCTATGCAACATTTATTATAGGCTTATTTATTGATTTTACCATTTAAATTGATTTCACAGCAGAATGGCTCACCTGTAGAAGCTGCATTCGACAACATGCTTGGTGAAACTGAAACTGTCCTCCTTTGACTTCTTCATACCGAATTGTGATTCACGGGAATGAGTGCCTCCTAGCGAACCTAAACCTGTAAACATCAAATCAAGTCCAGTTTTCCAGTTGTTTGAGATTGGCGAAGTAGAGTCTTTCACAAGAGCTTCACTCGAATCATAAATCTGGCTGGAAACCTTCATTGAACACTTTGGGAGTGTTCTCCAGTGCACCACAGCCGCAGGTATCTTCTGCCTTGCATTGTTCATGTATGCGTTCCTGTACATTTTGCAGCCGCTGTTCCCGATGTTCCACTTCTCCATGTTGATGACGTAAGACTTTTTTCGCTCCATTTTCACTACGTCAAAGCCCTCTCCACCAAGGTTGTAGCCTGGAACGAAGACAGTATTCTTGCAATCTTTGGGACCGCCCAGTTCCAGCTGTTCTTCAGTATTCCCCATGGAGAGAAGGGAACACCATATCCAACAGCTGACAAGGTAATGACACATCCACCCCATTCTGTGAGAGGCTAAAAAAAAAAAAATTGTTATTTCTTAAATAATCAATGGGATTTAACTTATAGACAGTAATCAGTAAGCAGCCCACAGTACATACACAGCATTAAAGTATTAGCATTCAGTTAAAAAAAAATAATTTTAATTTACTTTCAATTACTTACTTATGTCTTGTGTCTTATCTGTATCTGAGATGTGAGTCAAGCCCAAATGTCTCATCTTAAATACTAGTGGCAGAGGGAGGGACAGATGCTACATTTACATGATGACTAATCTTAAAGGAGCCCAATGTAAAATACTGTCTTCATTAAAAAATAATATGTAACTGAAAAATAATATGTAACTGCAAAAAAACATCTGAAGAAAGTTTGGAATCATTTTGCTGTTTTTGTATGAAGTTTTCCTCATCAGACCTTGGAATTTTCCCCATGAGCAAAATTTTATGCCAAAGAAAGTAGAGATGGGGGTTTCAAGTCTTTTTGATCTGTTCACCAAGGCCATTCTTTTGGCTCGGACACGTGTTTGTTAGTCTTCATAAATCCATGTCTAAAGTTTCCCTTGCATGTTTCTGACATGAATGAGCTGCATTGTAACCAGAATATATGCATGAATTCCACTATATAAAAGACCTCAAAAGCAAAATAAACACACAAATAATAATGGATACAATGGAATATTTTGCTGTTGTCAGAACAAAACCTCTTATTTCCAAAATGATAATTTTACATGAGAAAAAAAAACATGCTTTACTTGTAATGTGAGTAAATGGAACCAGACGTTTTTCCAAGTCATTTTGGGCTGTTTCTTTTGGTCCATTCATGAAATTTACACACAATGTAAAGGACAACAGGTACTTTGAAATTACATCAAAAACTGAAAAATGTCAAAAATGAGTATAATGGAAAACCAAAAATGGAATGCATCCAAATTCGCATACTTATTCAGTATATATAAATTCAATTTGGTATGCACTATTTGACCATTAAAGAAGTATGTACTGTCAGTATGCAAGTGCAAAGTATCCGTATATTCTTGGACACATTACATCCACCATTTCTTTCACAAAGGTTCACGGGTGATGCTGAGCTTTACTCACCAAAATGATTTTCCTTTTAAACATGGCTGTGGTCCTTATGAGGTATGATTCTCTATTTTATTGACAGGCCAGTCACATTTGAAGAAGAATTTGATAAGAATAAATAAAAAAGAGCAAGACGACGTCAACAAGAACCAAAGAAAAACCACCATAAAGAAAGTGTATAACTGCAGCTGTGTCTGCACCACAGCACACTGTGTCAGCACAAGTGACGGCTTAACAGTTACACCACTATTTGTGTTCATGCAAATTAGATTGGATTATATCAACAATATTAATTTAGATTGGATTCTTTTGGATTGGAAATATCAACACCAATGATGTGAATGCAGTCTGGAGAAATAGCAATTCATAATAAATGACAAATTAACCATAATCAATGTGATGATAAAGACTTACGCAAACTGCTTATTTTATGATGCAGTTTGTTATTTAACTCAAAAATGCACAATTTTTATATACAGACACTTAAAAATAGTGGGCATTTTGGCTGGTGGGCTATTCTGGCTCTAAATAAGAATGGCAATTTATATTGTGTAAGGATGCATGCAACGGTATATCTGCGTCCTAGATACGTTTTTCTCATCTTTCACATAAAAATGAATACCCACCCCTTCTCTCCTGTCCCCTCTGCTCTCCGCCATTGTTAAATGACATCCCTCAACCTCGAATTCTTCTTAGGCTCCAGTGGAATCATGGGATAGGGCAGTGTGCTGTTTGATGAATGCTGCCTATTTGGACACATCATTTTCAGATGCAGTTTGAGGAAGCCATGGGGAAACCACAAGATAATACTGTTACAACAAAGACAAACGAACACTGAAACAATAGAGCTGCTTACACAAGAGACAAGACCAGAAATGGTGTGGCAAACAAACTATATAGGGGTGGCTGTGATAGCAAAGGGGTGGAGCTAGGAAGACAAGATGGGGTTGAATAGTTAAAGGGTGGAGCCAGACTAAGGCCCAATCCCATTTCTTCCTTTTACCCCTACCCCTTTGTTTTTGGGTGTCATCCTAACCCCATGGAACTGAGTTACAAAGGGTAGTGGTTGAAATCTCCCCTCTGAAATGGGACCCTCAAATAAAAAACAGCGTTACTTCATTAACAGCTACCAGCGCTGCTCTGTAGGCGACCCTGCCAGTCTGCAGTGACAGCAGAGGAGGGTAAAGTTCAGCTCCTCACTGCTGGGCTTTAGTTACATTTAGGGAATCATATGCCTTCAAAGAGGGGGGCAATTATTTATTATCACCCACCCCTAATTCTTCAGTCATATGAAGCTGAAGTCAGATATTCACCAGCTTCTTGTTCGAATTTTTCTCGTTCCACCTTAAATAGTCCAGCAGTTCTGACGACTGAAGCGCCAGAATGGAACTGCTGCACCATTTAAGGTAGAACGGTTAGCTAGCTACCGAGATATCAGCATACTATTAGCTATTTTTATTTAGGCTATTTTTATGCAATGGTTATCAGAATTTTTTAACACAGAAAATTTGTGGGTTTCTTCGGTCTCTTGTTCAGCCATCTTGCCGTTTTTTTTTCCTTCATATCACTCTGTTTGGAGTCTCTGAAAAACCTCCGTTTGGAGGGTCATGTAGCCCTAACACTTCACCCTCCCCCTCTATCTCAACAAGAATCGGGACACCCTACCCCTAGACGTGAACGCGCAAAACATAGTGGTAGGGGCGAGGGGTGAAATGGAATTGGGCTTAAGAAAACCATTTCCCTACTCTGATTTCTTAATCATTCTTTTCCTTGCCTTTTATTAAAAACAGACTAAAGGCCTGTCAGTACCTGATCTCCTGGCTGAAAATGTATGAGCTTCTGCTTGGCGATCAAATAAACGTTTCATTTTATTCTGAGAATTACCCAAATTTGCCTTTGCAAGTTCACACGCCTCATAGAGTCTTCCCCAAAATCCATTAACAAATCTACACCACTTATCCTTCTGGGTTGCAGGGGGTGCTGGAGCCTATCCCAGCAGTCATCGGGCAGAAGGCAGGAAAACACCCTGGACAGGTGCCATTACCAAATGCTATGCAAATAATTGACACAAAAATATGAACTTTGCCATATTGTTTGCACCACAAACAAAAAGGAACAAAGAATCTTCAAGTGCAAAAAAAAGATACTTTTGTGCCAGTTACACTAAGAAGGCTACTTTCCATTTTGGAAAAGTGAAAGTAGTGCATAAAGCTTTGTTGCTCCACTGAGGAACTTCACTTTTGAATGCTTCCACATGCAACTCCGATGGCATGGCAGTATTGATGGAGATTTTGAATAAATGTTCCCTTAATCAGTAATCAAATAGATTAGATATTGTAATCAATAACCAAATTGGAAGTATTGCCTAACAGAGAATAATAATTCTCTCACAAAGGAAAGGCCTTAAGATTCTAGACACTGGAAAGCCCCTGGGTTCAAAGAGAGGCCTGTTTGTACTTACTGACCCAGTGACGAGAGGGACAAGTTGGCCTTGACAAGTAGAGCAGACTGGTAAAAACCAGCTGAAACCAGTTTTTAAGGCGTGAGCTCAACATGCAGTTGCCAAACTGATAGACGAAGAAATGCATCTATTAGAAACTACCCCAGATAAATGGTATATAAACTGTTGTTTGGAACACTGTATTTGCGCACTGTATTTGAGCCACCTGATGCTGAAATAAAGAAGAAGCCTTTTTCTCTCTTCCACAAACTCAGCGTCTGAAGACTCTTTCCTTTTTGACATCTTTTGAGAATTTAGACTTAGAACAGATATTAGTGTAAGTGTTTAGTTGGTATTAAAAGATTTCTTTTTTATTCATAATATTATGTTGGAGGCCTGGGGTTGATGAGGATCACCTTCAGTCCTGACAGTATCTCGCAAGGCAAGGCGTCTCCAAAAGGCAGCTCAAACGGGGCTCAAACTGGGTTACATTGCCAGGGAGATGCCACTGTCAATCATGTGAAATGACATGCCCAGACAGTTGTGAACAGGCAGCAGCTCTACATTTTTGGAACATTTATCTACTATGAAATTGTGTTCGTTTATATATATTTCTCAAATATAACACTGGTAACACTTTTTCTGCAGCATATGTTTACTATTAAAACAACGTTCTAAACATTAGAAACCAGGTTTACTGGGGCTTTAACAACTTTACTGTAGGAAATAAAGAATCTGCACTGCAGCCAGAAGTGCTCTGAATTTAAATCCAAAGATGTTTAATGCTGTGCACATTTGAATGTTTTACAATTGTACATTTTACAAAAATAATAATATCCAAATATAAGGCAAAAATAACAAAATTAGCAACAAAAAAAGGTTTGTTAGGTTTAACTTTAGTCTTTAGTCTTGACCAACACTGCACTCTCTGACTCTCTGTGTGAGATAGAGCTGAACTGAAGACTCAAGAAGCAAAGCAGCACTTTTTTTATCTTCATCTGATGAACAGGCTCTAGTTTCAGATTCTACGACTGGCGGCCCAGAATTCAATTCCACCTCCAGAGCATGATTTTACTTTGGCTTTGCAATTTCAAAGCTTGGTTTCCTAAGTGTGGTACCAAGGCCTGCAGAGGGAATAAATGTATTGGATCATATTTTTGTGTCCATTATTTGTGTTGCATTTGTTAATGGCACCTGTCCAGGGTTTCCTGCCTTCTGCCCGATGACCGCTGGGATAGGCTCCAGCACCCCCTGCAACCCAGAAGGATAAGTGGCATAGATTTTTTAATGGCCTTTAGTAAAGGCAAGGAAAATAATGATTAAGAGATCAGTGTAGGGAAATGGTTTCCTTAGTCTGGCTCCACCCTTTAACTATTCAACCCCATCTTGTCTTTTGTCTTCCTAGCTCCACCCCTTTGCTATCGCAGCCACCTCTGTATAGTTTGTTTGCCACACCATTTCTGGTCTTGTCTCTTGTATAAGTAGCTCTATTGTTTCAGTGTTCATCTGTCTGATCTTGCATTGTTGTAACAGTATTATCTTGTGGTTTCCCCATGGCTTCCTCAAACTGCATCTGAAAATGATGTGTCCAAATAGGCAGCGTTCATCAAACAGCACACTGCGCTATCCCAAAATTCCACTAAAGCATAAGAAGAATTCCAGGTTGAGGGATGTCATTTCACAATGGCGGAGAGCAGAGGGGACAGGAGAGAAGGGGTGGGTATTCATTTTTATGTGAAAGATGAGAAAAACATATCATAAGACATAAATATAACACTGCATGCATCCTTTCACAATACAAACTGTTATTCTTATTTAGATCCAGCTCACCACTAAAGCCCACCACCAAAAATGGCATTTTTTAAGTGTCTGTTTATAAAAATTGTGCATTTTTGAGTCAAATAACAAACTGCATCATAAAATAAGAAGTTTGCATGAGTCTTTATCATCACTTATTGATTATGGTTATGGTTTGTTATTTCTCCAGACTGCATTCACATCATTATTGTTGATATTTCGAATAATCAAAGCTTCATTTCCTAAGTGTGGTGCCAAGGCCTGCAGAGAGAATAAATGTATTGGATGTGTCTGGATGAATGTTCTCTTATTCTTCCACCTCTTTTCTGGTTTGTTCTGCTATATAGGTGAACTTTCAAGCTTTGTTATCTGAGGGAACTTCACAAGTGGAAGAAAAGCAGATTTCCTACTCATTAATAGTGGCACAATCAAAATTTTTAAGTGCGATAGAAAACTCCTAGGTCCCAGGTCTAGGTGTCTCTTGCCTCCAGTAACCACTGGATCAGAAAGAGTGAATCATGAGCCTGTTGGATATCATAGTGGACAACAGCAACATTGTCCTCGTACAGAAGGTTTAATTCCCAGTCCAGGCAGAAATGCCAGCTATACCAATAAGAATGTCTAAGGTAGAATCCAAACGCTACATTCGCCCACCAAAGTAAGCCATGCTGGAAATGTAAATGCTCTGCTGAACCTGTTCTTTGCACTGGAGAAAGAGTCCAGTGTACAGCAAGAGGGTATGATAATGGATCAACGTCCTGCTCAAACCTTGTATATGTAGAGCCTGATCAATGCAGCTGTCCAGGGTTAGGGATTCATTGTTGCTGTGATAATCTCGAGGAACTTCAGTCATGAGACAATTGAGAGTGTTCTGACCAGTGGTATGATCTTATAGATCCTAGTGCACAGAATGAAATTTCTGAAAAGTACTTTCAGCTAATAAAAACATGAGGATGTAATTCGCTTGCTACTGTTATGTCTCAAACAAGGCACCACTCCACCCACTAGCGCATAATGTTAACCCTAAGGTTTGTTATACTACCTATTTAGGACTGTAAATTAATACATAATGAATATATCATGTTGCAGGTTGTGAAGGATTTGTTACCATGGATAAGCTGCGTTATGAATAAGAGGGAGAAAAACAGACGTCAGGTCTGTCTGTGTAGGGTTGATGGAAGGTAACTGGGGAGGTAAAATACAGTGTAAATGTCAGTGACCACCCTTCATTTATTTAATTTGAGACAAAACTGCCACCAAGTTATTCATATTTAAGTGTCAAATTATTTATATATAAGTGTCAGGAAAAAGCAGAAAACATTCATCATCTTCACAACATACACTAGAACCTCCATCCACATTATCTTCACAACATACACTAGAATCACCATCTACATCATCTTCACAACCCCTATCCACATCATCTTCACAACATACACTAGAACCACCATCTACATCATCTTCACAACATACACTAGAACCCTCATCCACATCATCTTCACAACATACACTAGAATCACCATCTACATCTTCTTCACAACCCCTATCCACATCA